GGAGTTGTCATCTCCTATCATAACAATGCCTTCTTCTGGAACAGCTTCTGAAGGACCTGCCTGAGGCTGTTTTACAGTTAACCTTTTTTTATAAGTAGAAGGTGTATGCTCTAAAATAACAATAAAGTATAGTATAGATAGTATAATAAATGCATAAACCAATAACATAGTCATTTATTTTTATTATCAAGTATTATGTACTGCACATAATTGTATGTGCTATACTTTTATATGACTGGCAGTGCAGTGGGTTTGTTTACACCAGCATCACCACAAACACACAAGTAGTGTGTTGTGCTGTGATGTCACTAGGCAGTAGAAATTTTTCAGCTCCATTATGATCTTATGGGACCACTGTCTTATATGTGGTTCATCATTGACCAAAACATTATTGTAGGGTGCATGACTATATTTATATTAATATATGCATGTTTCAACTCATATTTATGTGTATATGTACACACACACGCACACACACACATATATAGCATATAAAATTGACACATAGTAAGCATCTCAGAAATATCAACCATCACTATTGTTAATACTTTTCTCAGCAAGGTTGTAAATGCTGGTCCAGCCTATCAGAAGATATCACACCTTTTTAATGTGTTTTAACCAGCACCATGTCATGGCTAGTTGAGTGACTTCAAAATTGCTAACAGATAACTGGTTAGTCAAAAAGTTAATTCACTGTGTAAAATACATCACACAAACTGTGCTGTTATTTATCTCTTAGTTGCAGAGATTGGACTCATTTCCTACTATGTTTAGTTGTATTGGATCATTATAGACCTTTTCTGAAGTTTAAAGATTTAAGTTTTTTATGGATACAAGCTTTTAAGTTGACCAATGATTAGCTAATTTCTGATGATAGAAAAGGAAACAGATTGCCCCAAGGCTGTTATTTTCATTTCCTCATTGGTAGAAGAGGATTAATACAGAAGAAAGTCAGACACAACACATTGAACCTCTGTCACCATGGGGAACTGGGCTGTGAATGAGGGGCTCTCCATTTTTGTCATTGTAAGTACCAACGAGGGATAAATTATGAATTCTCTGACTTGTTTGGGTTTTCTTGAGAACTAAGATGGAGCAAAGCTTTCTTGTTTGTTTGGGAAATTGTGTTTTAGCTGGTTCACTGTGAGAACATATATCTACCTGTAAGCAGACTATTTTTCCAAATTCCTTAATGGAAAGAAAGTATCTGGGGAGTTCACTTCTTCTAGTTTATTTCTGAGTTCCTAGGAGCACCAGGTTAGCCAGCACTTACTTCACAGAGGGAGCAGAAGATATTTCATGCTAATGATCTCTGATTCTGAGTTGTTTATTAATGTTTACTCAGAGGCAAATTTATTTATTTATTATATGTTTATACTACTTAGAATGGCCAGTTGAAATTTTATACCATTTTGAAATAACAAGTATAATACTGATTTATGTTGGAAATTGGCCTTTATTTCAGTAACTACCCCCAAAATAATTAAAGTTCTCCAATTTATTTTAAAAACCAAGTACCTTTTTTTCCTCAGAGGTCTAAACTTGAATTATTTATGAGATTTATGAAAATTCAAGAGAAAGGAATTAAAATAAGTTATCTAGACTTATACATGTAGTGTGTATA